TCGCTCTCCCTTTTACACTGTTGCAGTCATCCATTAAGTTGGCCAACTGTTATTTCATTTCTTGAACGCAAACAACTTCACGTTGATTCCATTTCATTCTTTTTGCTCCCTTTTTTTTCGTGTTGCTTCTTTTACGTTTTTTGCGTTTTCCACTTTACGCTTAATTCCCTTATTTATTTAGTTGCGTTTTGACACTTGATTCCCGCTGACTTATTCGCCAGCTCCTCTTCCTGCTCCGCTTCCTTTTTAACCACTTTGGCTGGCCGAAGCGCGCGCACACACCTCGAACCGTTTACGTTTACGTCCAACAGCCCAAAGGTGTTAATCAACTGCCACTCCACTTCGGATCAGCACTCGTCCTGTGGTCAAGATCCAGTGGCACAGTGGTGGAAAAGTGGTGGGAAGTAGGACGCAAATAAACATACATAATTATTTTTATTTTTATTTAATGCAATTAAAAACCTATTAAAGTCAATAATAATAATAACTTTTCAATTGTGAAAGGATGAAAATAAATAAACAATAATCTATTATTTAAATATTTTTGTTTTTAAAACTATATATAAAATATTTACTTTTTTTATTCTATATCAATAATATACAATATAATATAATATAATAAAATATAATATAATATACAAAAATATATATTTAAAGACGTAATTCTGATAAATCTCTTATAGGTATTTTAATTTGCATTATTCGTAGATATATATTGACTGACTTTAGTTAAAAATAAATTTCGTACCACTGTGCAACTTATATTATGTTTACGTTTGACGTGCGTTTTACGCTTCTGCTCTGTCCATCTACTATCTCGTTCGCTCGCTCTCTCTCTATCTCATTGGCTCTATCTTTCATTTGCCTTCACGCTAGCTTTGGCTGGCCTCTGTGTGTATGTGTGTGTGTGTCAGTGTTAACATTAAAAGCAGCCCGCTTTTTATTTATGGCCATCAATATTTTATGACGGACAGAGCAGAAGGAATGCAAAACGGAAGATGGTCAGGTTACGCACGCCCTCGGCCCCTCCCTCATCCTGCCCCTGGCTGCATTAAGCAATTACTAAAGGTAAACGTGGTGAGAGAAATGACCATATAAATATGAAATAAGAGAAACTTTAAAGCGACCCTCGTAAAGCAACAAATATATGTACATATACACGTTTCTTAACTGCTGCTCACATGTACATACATATGTGTATGTGTATGTGTATGTGTATGTGTATGTCGAATGCCTGCTCTTTGTTTATAATCAACTCAATATCGAGGTGAAAGCAGCACGCGAGCAAAACGTGTTATCTGTGGCTCATTTGTTTATTTGCCGACACACTTGGCATTATCTATGCATAATTATGTTAAATATGTATCTGTAAAAATGTCAGAATTCTAAAGAAAAGGTAAACAAAAACAAAAACAACACATTAATTGCGTATTTCGACTCTTAGTTGAAAGAGAGACAGAGAAAGAGCAAAAGCAAAATATGAGCGACCACTGTTAATTAACAGCACCGTCCATAAGCAGCGCTGTCCATCAACAGCGCTGTTAACTGCTAATGCGCTGCAAACACAACAGTTTTATAGTGTAAATTGTGTTTGCGTGAAGCAAATGCAAAAGCAAATACAAAAACAAGCATAGGTAAACAAGCAAAAGCAAACAACGTGGGGAGAACGAACAACAAACGAGGCAACTGTTTAACATAATTTTCGCATAAAATGCTGCGTATATATATGGAAGATATATAAATATTCTAATAACAAATGCAAGGAAATTAACAAATTAAGACGCGAACAAAAGGAGTACAAAGCAGAGAGAAGTGATAAATGAAAGCATGATGGCGAGCTTATAAATTAGTTGTGTGGGTAGACTGGGGTGCCACGGTAATTAAAATAAAGAGATAGTCAAAAAATAGGGTAATTTATAGGAATATTAATAAGTGCAAATTTATTTTTATATTATAATTTATTTTTAAATTAATTTATTATTATATATTAAAATAAATAAATAAAAGAAAATTCTATAAAAATAATAACAATAATGCCAATGTTTAAAAATGAATAAATAAAATATTATTTAAAAAAAAAAATAATATACAATTATAAATTATAAATTATATAAATTAAATAAAAAAAAAAATAGTTCGAAAACAATAAAAAATAAATGAAAACAAAATATTAAAAATATGAAACTAAAAAATATAGAAAATATACAGTAAATATAAAATTTAAAAATTAAATAAATATTTTACACAAATTATTTACATGAATTAGCGATGCAAATAATTATATAAATATATAATCTAAACGAAGGCCAACCAATTTTTTTTATGATTTTTATGTTTTATAAATCAACTGAGAAAATTCGTTTTAGCGAAGGTCAATCTCTGTAGCATTTTATTATGATTAGATTAAAGAGATTAAAAGAAAAAGCCAACAAGAAAATGCCTAATATAATATCTAGTCGTTTTGCATAAAAACTACATAGAAATTATTTGCACATCTGTTTGAGTTAAAATCACATTTAAACAAACACAATTATGCATACGTATATGTAATATAAAATTTAATCTGCCCACACACACGCCAATATTATATTTATACACATACACTAAGAAAAAGCGTGCGACGTGTAAACGAGAAGCGGAGAATAAATACTACAACACGCATAATATCCAAGACAAAACCAAAGCGAATAGAGCGAGCAAAGCAAATGCAAAAAAAAAAAATAATAATAATAATAAAAGGGAAAAAAGCGAGGAAAAACGTGGAGAGTAACACACACACACACATTAACGTATGCGCTGCCAGCACACGCTCTCTCACACTCCCTCTCTAGTTTTTTGTCTCTCTCTCTCTCTCTCTCGGTCGCTGCCTGTCCATATGTTGCTTATCTGCCGGCTCTGTGGCGTATACGTAATTTGTTTTTGTATTAATATATTGTAGTATTTTTTTTTTTTATTTTTCTATATTTTTTTTTTTTTGTGTTTGCGCTTGTTGACAGGTCTCTCTGTATATGAGTGTGTGTGTGTGTGTAGGTGCGTGTGTCTGTGTAATAATTTGTGCGAGCTGCTCAAGTAGCGCGCAGATAAGACAAAAATGACAAAAACTCAGACACAGCTATAGATACAGATACAAATGCACAGATGCAGATACAAAATATACAGATACTTTATAGATACAGATACAGATATATCCCACTACAGTTAGCATTCAGTTATCATTATCAGTGCTCAGCACTCGATTGTTTATTTTGCTCAGCTCGCACGTGTTGCAATTTTTCAACTCGAAATTTTCCATGCACATCCCGAAACGCAAACAGATGAAATGGCATAGGATATGGCGGAAAAATAGAATGCGCCGGAATGTATAGAGGCAGAGAGCAAGAGTAAACAAGCTATATGCAAATAATAAATTGTATTTTTTACGCGTTGCCTACACATTCAGCTAAGCAATTGAAATCCAAAGCGCAAACACGCGGCGTATGAGTAATCAAATGATTGCATTAACACACAGAGAGAGAGAGAGAGATGAATTGTTGACCCAGCTAGATGTGGTATATATTGTTGGCTGCTGTTAATGTAATTAAAAGCCCTGTCGACCTGTTGGCCAGACCAAAATGCAATGCAAAAAGTGGAAAAAAATAAACTAAAAAATATATATATATATATATATATATATATATATGCATATGTAGAGGCAAATGACAAAAGAGCAACACTGTTTAGGCCAGGAGGGGCGCGGGGCGGAGCTGAGCTCGTGTGCTGTGGGATATCTGTGAAGAGTAGCCCTATGTGATGTGGTGTGCC